CTGCGGTTTCATGACTGGGAGTGGGGGGGTGTGTTTTTGCTTTTGTCCCGGGGTGTAGTCGGAGAAACTGTTGTCTGGTGCACGTGGGGGCGAGAGAGGATACCGTCATTGCAGACTTGCAGATGAATGGAATATGTAGCGCCGGTGGTGACCTGGGCGGGGGCCGCCAACTACTGTAGTTAGTTTGAAGTTCGACGGCTCTTGTTTGAGAAAGAGCTTCGACTCAGCACGACGGCGGCTTGTCGGCATGGGGGCATGAAGCTCAACGGCCCCCTTCGCCGGCCTCCCCGTCGGATAGCGCAAGATCCAGCGCAGCAGTTTCAACTGCGTAAGTTTTTCCGTCCCGGCTGGCATCCAAATTCCCAATATAGGCACAGGATTCTTTCGAAACGACTCTGACCTGACCCATCGATCCGCACGCCGGCAGAAAGGGAAGGAAGGGAAGAAAGGGAAGATCAGAACCCGACACGCTGGCGCCGGAGATGCGGGAAATCGGCTATCGACGTATGTGTGTTGTATGTACATGCGTACACAGCGGGCCGCCGCCGTGTGATGGATGGTATCTATGGTATGGTATGGGCTTATGCAGGGTGGGCGCAGGGATCGACGGGCGGCGCGGCGGAGTGACGGCCCGAATTTCCCGTCTCACCTACTCACTCGGCTGGAGAGAAGGAGGCGACAGTAATCCATCAATCAGCCAAGTGGTCCAGTAAGTGCTTACCTACAGTCTACAGACCTAGACATGATAGCTAGCTAGACCGAACGAACGAGACTGCGGCTCGGATCGAGTATGCGGTGGCTCCCTCCCTCGCGATTGTGGATTACGCCCGCCGCCGCCGCCGCCGTCACAGCCAGTCGGCGACTTTCCAGCAATGCCGCTCGTTTCGTTGCGTAAAATTCATACATCCTCCCTTCTTCGCCCTCCTCCTCCTCAGAGGTATATATCAGCCTGGATCCGGTCGTTTTACTTTACTTACCAGATCATTATAACCATCCGCCTCTCCGCTGTTCATCACCGCCACTCAATCGGACATACTTCAACGAAGAAACCACAGCCGTGCCATATCCCCACTCGCACGCAGAACAGAACCCATAAACACACTTCAAGTTGGCAGCTACCATCTCTCCGTCGTCTGCACCAGCCACCCCACCCACCCACTGCCCAGCCACCCAGCGCCACCTCCCCCATCCATCCAATGTCCTACGACCCCCATCACACCGAGCGCCGCCTGGAAGGCGGCCGCCAATTAAATCTCCAAATCGCTGCGGCCCGCAGCGGCTCCACAGTGCCCGCAACTGACGCGTCGATAATCCGCGAGGAGACGTTTGTGCCGTGCCCGTGGGTGGAGACGACATCGAACCCGCTGGAGCGATATCTACAGCTCGCACCCCACCAGGACGCGTACGTCGTCTATGCGCAAACTGCTGCGCAGAATGAGTTAAGGCATAGGGGGATTTTGAGGAGTTGAGAAGTTGGGGCGTGGAGGGAGGGAGGGGCCGCGGGGCCGGGGGAAGGGGGTGGGACAGTTGGGGGGCAAGGGGGGAGGGGGGAGGGGGATGGGTGTGATCGCCTCAGGGGTCGGCGGTGGAGGTCTTCGAGAATATTGCGGCAGGAAAAGCGGCAGGAAAAGCGGCAGGAAAAGAATGTGCATACATCATACATGGTGTATGTACGGGCGTTTTGGTTTTGGTTTTTTTTTATCTATGTTTTTCTTTCCGTATCCGAGCTGTATGTTTGTACATAGATAGAGAGATAGATAGAGTAGAGTAGAACAGTGTATCTAGAGTATCTAGAGTAATCAGGGACGATCGGTAACTCAGCCCAGCGTGAATCCGCCACGATCGATAGATGACTTCCGGAACTTGGTGGTGGTGGTGGTGGTGGTGGTGGTGGGCTGTTTCTATAATTGCCGTCCGATTAACCAGACTCTGTCCGCACCGCCGCTTCGTCCACGCGTGGAAACTGTCCGAATCTCGCATTGATATTGTGCAGCCCCCTCTGACTGACACACGAACTCAAGTGTCAAACCAGCGTTTCCATCTAACTGTCCGCAGATAAACAAAAAAATAAGACAACTTTTGCGAATTGAACCCTACGGATTAGAGTATGTATGGGCCCGTGCACTGACCGCAAACCCCCCATCCAACGTGATAACTACATACCTCCTACCAGTACTACGCTGGAGCATCGGCCCGTCCCTATGTAGACACTGTACCAGCCCAGCCCGGCGACGATTAAGACCGAATTTTACGGAATCAGCCGGAGCATGCGGATTCCTCAACCGCCCACGGCCCCCTAGGTACACCCAGTTGCAAGCGAAAAGCGAAAAGAAAAAAAGAAAGAAAAACACGCCGGCCAATTCGGAAGCACACTGCACACTGCACAGATACGGTACATATAAGCACTAGCCGACCTGCCGCTTTCCTTCCCTTCCACCTCTGTGCCTCTGTGACGTTTTTCCGGATCATCCTGCAGCCTGGAAGGAAGGAAGGAAGGATCCAGGAAGCCAGCCGATTCGTCCGCTGCGGACGGCGGACGCACGATTCAGCCTGAACAGCCGGGACGAGTGTCATGGGCCGTCACTCGCAACGGGCAATCGTCCGGTTAGATCGGTCAGCTCTGGCAGGTCTGGCAGGTCGGCAGGTCATATACCTACTGCACGGGCGAAACGCGTAGGGCTGACCGCGCAACGGCGCAAGGAGTGCGACTGGCAACCCGAGTCGAGACGACACGGCAGGCGGGACGAAACTACGCGGTGCATCGATGTGGTGGACACTGGACGGCCGTTAGATGTCGGTTTAGCCCCCGCGGGAGTGCATGGGCGTCTGAGATGGTAGATACACACCGGTATGTGCTCTAACTACTCGCCGCTCGGGAGTTGAGCACTTCACAATTTCACATGCCATTTCCTAAGTCCCCTGCTGCGATTATTTTTAATTTTTCCGCCTAACCAGTCGAGTCGAGTTGAGTCGCGTTGAGTTGAGTGCGGGGACTTCCGCAATTGCTTCATCTACATACTATATGTACCTTTATAAGTCCATACACAACCACATCCCTAAGCAATTGCGCACCGCACACCCTGAGGCTGTTGCAGATCATGGCTGCCGCCGCACCGGACCGTGTCGCCTAAGCCTGAGCCCTGGGCTTGAGCTTGGGCCTGCTGGAGATATAATTATGGCTCGTATGTAAGCTCGTATGTAAGTACTCACGCACATATGAGCTGTCAGCACTCTACTATAGTGAATGAGTCTACTCCGCGACGGGAACACCTACGATACTATGCTCTTCTATGCTCCGCTTTGGTCTGGTCTGATCATGGCTCTACTTCAGTTGTCCGCATTCGGGTGATGCTACTATGTAGTTGGCTGTGTACGTACATACCGTTTCCTACCATCCGATTCCGCCGTCTTGACTCTTCACACCTATGGTACATCCTCTGTCCGGTGTAGCGGTAATTCTAGCAGCTGGATAGTTAGGTAGATACCAGAGCCACGGTCGATTCAATCGCAAGATCCACCTTCCATCGCCGGACCGCTGCGCCTGACGTACCGTACCCGGAGGTTGATATGTACCTACTAGTACCTACACAGGTACTATTGTTGGCTTGCACGTGCCCGCTCCTGGCCTCTGGACTTCATGATTGCGGCCTTTTCTTGCTCTCGAGAGTCGAGATAGATACCGGTACAGTGTACTCAGGAGTCAGGAACGACCACCGCCGCGGCCGCCACTACCCGCCAGTCGCCAGTCTCGATTGAAATCCAGCCTGTGCGTGAGTAAGCACTTGCAAGTATATACTCAATCCCCTATGCGGCCTTCTTCCGACCACCTTCTTCAGTCAACCTCCTTGCGTGCGCAACGGGAGGAGCAATCTCAAAGCCCTTCCCATTACCCCGCCTGGCGGACAAAGTAATAAAGCCACTCACTGCCACGATTGCCATGATCGAGCCACAGGGCTTCGAAAGCCGTCCGGACCGAGTCGCCTAGCCTGGGGATGTATATCGATATTGATATCGATATCGACGGCGTCGATGCAGTTGCGTCCGGATCCAGACTATCTATTCAAACTTCAAAGTTCGATCCGCCCTTTCGATTTTGGCAGTTTGGCAGAGGATGGCAGAGGTTGGCAGTTTGGCAATTGAGACTGTCACCATCAGTGTTATGGACTTACGGACATTGCCAACCCCGGTGAGGTGAGGCGAGGGTCGACACGGACGACACGGCCGACACAACTTTCTATTCGCAGGATGTTTGCAATCCCCGAATCCGGAACGGCGGCGGTCGAATAATACATTGATACTCGCCAGCCGCCAGCGACGCCTCGTGAGCAGCCTCTCCTCCCCCGCCCCCCGGACCGCATTGCCTGGTAGCCCCAACCCATCGTACTGCACCGCCCGCATACTTTGATTCACTACTGGCTATCCGGGAATCTCTGGCTTCCCCAGTTTGGCTTCCCCACCCTCTAGCTTCCCATTCTCTAGCTTCCCCATTCGTTTGGGGGGAAGAAGATGCGCGCACGATGATTAGATAGCATTCAATGGGGCTAAGGGCCGCGCGGCTGTCGATGCCCCTCGTTCGTCGGGCATATCTGTCACCTGTCACCTGCGTGTGCGAAGCTCCGAGGGAACGTCCACCGTCCGGACCGCTTGGGGTTGAATACTAGAAGTTTGGAAAGGTACTGGGTAGCTTAGTTGTAGGGATACTATGTCCGTCGATCCGAACCCGGAGGTCCGCTGCGTATGGTTGGATGATCGTATTCCATCGAGTCGGTGTGTCACTTCACCGCCGCCGGCTGGTCAGATTTAGCAGAGGATATTGATTTCGTCTGGGAATGTACGTAGCTTGCATGGCCGCACATTCTGTTTTTATTTGTGTGCCGCTCAGATATTTTCGTGGGACTGTCGTATAATTGACGTCGTCTGATGCCTACTCCACGGCGTTGCCCTGGCACTTCTCGAATTTGCACGAATCATTGAGGTCTGATTCAGTCGATAACTGTTACGGTTTTGATCAAAATCTATTTTTGTATATACATTCTTTGATCTGTCTAATCCTCCCATCTATTTATCCTATACATTACAGCTCCACCTGAACTGTCCTAATCTAAGGGACAGTTCCAGTCTTTCTCTTCTTTCCACCGGCCTTGCCGCCAAAGCCCCAGCCCATCTGCTTGGCAGCGGCAGTCTCAACCTCCAGCTCCTCAGCCCACTGCCACACGAGGCCAGGGTTCCTCTGGAACCCACGGCCGACCAGGATGACATCGGCCGACTCGTCGTCGAGGATCTGCTGCGCGAGCTTGGCGGTGTTGATGGTTCCGACGGCGGAGACGAGACACTTGCCGTTGACGGCCTTGCGGACCTCGCGTGCGAGCGGGACCTGGTATCCAGGGCCAGGGGGGATCTTCTGGTCGGGGTGGAGGCCACCGGAGGAGATATCGATGAGGTCGACGCCCTTAGCGGCGAGAATAGGAGCGAGGCGGCAGGTCTGCTCGAGGGTCCACGCGTCGCGGCTCTCGGGGAGCCAGTCGGTAGCGGAGATACGGAGGAACAGGGGGGTGGACTCAGGGATTGCGGCGCGGACGGCGTCGACGATCTCGCAGGTCAGGCGCGTGCGGTTCTCGAAGCTGCCACCATAGTTGTCGGTACGCTGGTTGGAGGCCGGCGAAAGGAAAGAGTGCAGAAGGTAGCCGTGCGCGTTGTGGATCTCGATCACGTCGAAGCCGATGGCGATGGCGCGCTTGGCGGCGGAAACGAAACCGGCCTTGACACGCTCGATCTCGGCAAGGCTCATCTCCTTGGGCTGAGGGTGGCGCTCGTCGTACGGGATCGCGCTGGGGGCGAACACGCGGTCGGGCCAGCCGCCCTGTGCCTCTGTGGCAACGTCGCCGCGGGACAACCACGGGGCGAGGCACGAGGACTTTCGTCCGGCGTGCGCCAGCTGGATGGCGATCTTCTGGCCCTGCGAGTGCGCGAACTCGACGACCTTGCCCATATAGTCCATCTGCTCGTCGTTCCAGAGGCCAACGTCCTGGGGGGTGATACCAGACTGCGATAATCAACACCGAGTCCCGATCAATGTGGTGGACTACGGGGTGGAACTAACCTCCTCGACAACGGCGGTAGCCTCAATGATGGCCAATCCGGTTCCGCGAGTGAAGATTCCACCGAGGTGGGCCATGTGCCACGGGGTCATGTTGCCCTTCTCAGCAGAGTACTGGCACAGCGGCGACAGGAAGATGCGGTTCTGGAACTCGACGCCGCGAATCTTCAAGGGCTGGAAAAGGGTGGGAACCTCGCTGCCATCGGACTGGGGGACGAGGGCCGATCCGGCCGGAGGAACCTGGGCGGGTGTGAAATAGGAGGTCTGCGAAGAACACAATGTCAGTTGAGTGGCCTACAAACACAACACAGCCATGTGCACGGGAGAAAACTCACGTTCGCCGCAGGCGTGTTCTGGATCTTGGAAGTGTCGGTCATTGTGGCTGTAGTATCGTGGATGTGAATTGATACCGAATTGAATGAAGATTGATACCAGAGCGGACAGTCCACAGGGCTTTATAACCTCCATCTTCGCGCGGTAGCGCAGTCGTCACCTCACACTCGTTGCGAGGAGTTTCGGTGGGAGAGCAGCCCCGCTGTGAATACCGATCCTGTCAGATTACAAATCCGACGAATTATTAATCCAGGAACGCGCCAGGAGAGAAACCGGCAAGCATGACGACATGCATGGCAACCATAAATTTCCTGTGCAACACCGCGCGCGTTTGCGATTGCCCAATGGGACGACGGCAACCGCGATAGCACATGAACCGGCCACTAGCAGGCAATCGGATTATTGCAGTCGAAGCGCTTCCACACGTATGTAGTCCAGCACTCTAGCTGCTTTCGAGTAATTCTCCGAGCCACCCGAAGCTGACTGCTTTTCTGCGCGGGGGTTTGTTTCCCACGCGCGGTGGTGGGAGTGTGTAGAGTATTCCGGCATCGGCCAATAACGAACGGGAAGGAAAAAACGAGCGCACCGCGGCTGTCACCCCATCTTGGCGAAATCGTGCCATGATTTCGCGGGGGCATCCGGGTGTCTCCCCGCCCAGACATTCTGCCCCCCGCGGGTGCATCGGATGGCCTCTTCGCCACGGTGTCTCGCTGTCGGATCGGTGAAGCGGATGCGCGAAGAATCGAGAAGAGCAGTCGCACGCCGGGTGGGGCGTGGCAGCGAGGTTTGTCAGCTCCCCCGGCTCGGTGATTATTGCGTGACGCCTGCCGCAAATCCCTCCCTCCGGTGTCCATTATCCAGGTAACTACCGTACTCTATCTGTGTAGCGAGTGAAGAGAGAATTTGCTGTGTCGTCCGATTAGTGAAGTCACCCATCCGTTGCGATTAGTGATTTCTCCGCTGCGAACAGCCCATTCTTCTCCCTGTAGATCCCCACATCTCCGCATCATCATATCTCCGAGCGGAGCAGAATCGGCAGAGATCCCCCCAATCTCAACGGCCGGTCGGTCGGTCGGCGCCGTCGTCACCGCTACCCAGCGTCCTCCGGGCTCTCTTCCAGAATCTTCTGCCAGCCTAGTTATGATAGCGCGGCGACTACGCATCCTAGCGCGTCACAACCCAGCACTCACGGAGAAAATCCGTCGAAAGACATTTTTTGTTCGACAGCCGTCAGGGTTATCTCCGTGGCAGGGTTAAGTAAGCGACGGCGATCTGCCCGAGACGGACGGAACGTGCGGGCCGCTGCGGATTACCATCGGGTATGTACATACCTACTCCACGTACCTTATGTGCGGATACCTGATCGTGAACGGCGAACCTGGGGATGTGGGGTTTTGCTGTGTTGGCTGTGTAAGCGGATCGTGAGAGCGGATAGGCAAGTACAGGCAGACGGTATACCTATACACCAGGATAGAAAGTGTTCTGCGTGTTGGTAATCCAGAGTAGGTAGAATCAATCGGGTTCGGTATCGGCAGATTCGATGAAACCCCCCACTACTACCTAGTAAAGTCCTGAGCTCATAAACCGTCCCTCCAGCTCTGCTGTTTACCTACACATGCACCGCTTGTAGGTCTCCCACATCCATGCATATGCTGGAGCTCTCCCGCTCGACGAACGGGGGTTTGGGCTGGGTATATATGTAGCTGTGATGCAGAAGACTCTGGGCGACAGACGGATAGTACTGTACATATGGGCTGTCCCCAAACATCATCAGATCACATCCACGTCCACGTCCACAAACCGGCTGCTGGCCCATCCGCGAACAGGGGCTGAAACTGAAGCTGAAGTAGCGGGGATGAGGTCCGGTACTGCAGCTCTTTGAGATGGAGGGAAGAGAGCTCGCAAAACTCTTCACGTGTATTTACTCCTCTCTTTGCGTGGATGGATACATAGATAGGGCCCAACTCGCTGGTATGAGATTTGACTGGCAGCAAAAAGCCAAGAAAAAAGGGCCTGGGGGCACTGGCTATCAAACTGCGATATATCCGCCGCACCTTGTGGATTTCGATTTCAAATCCTCAGGTTTCACGAATCCTTCAACGAGACGACGGCACCAGGCGGTAAATCGCCTTACGTTTTTGTTTAATCAGTCGCTCCCTGTGACCTAAGTAGATCATGGCAATCATACCAGACGCCCGCAACTAGCCCGCGAGTGACGCACCATGACGTTGTGGGTTAGGGACAGATGCGACACGTAGCCGGATCGAACGCGACGCACGGACTTCGACAACTTATCTTTGTTCGCGTTGTTCCATCCCATCTACGCAACCCACCCACCAACACCCACCCCCCTTACCACCCACGACCACCCCCTTACCACCCACGACCACCACTCCCCGCCCTCCACCCACCATGGCCGCCGAAAAATCCCCTTCGGAGCGCATCTGCGCGCACATGAATGCGCAGCACTCCTCCAGCATCCACGACTACGCATTATTCTTCGCGCGGCTGCCGTCCTCGCTAGCGCGGACCGCAACGCTGACCTCTGTCAGCACCGAGAAGCTCACACTGACAATCACGTCCGCACACGGCGCCACGAGCACCGTCAACATCCCTTTGCACCCGCCTATGGCGGATCTGGGCGAGAGCCGCGAGCGGCTTGTCGCCCTCGCGCACGAGGCGATGGAGGGCTTGGGCAGATCGAGGTATACCGTCACTAGATGGGTGCCCCCCGGTCCCCTAGGCGCGGTCGTCTCCGCCGCCGTCTGCTTTGGCTATTGGTCGTTCTGGAATGGTGCCGTGCAGTTTGCCCGCGGCGGGTTTGTGAGGGAGTTTGTCACCCCCCAACAACGATAAGTGTGTGTTCAGCTGGCTGATGGATTGTAGGTACATCTTCATGGGCGGCCTCGACGCGGTCGCGGCAGTGCTTGCGGGATACTGCAAGGTCTTCTTTTGCGGCATTCTGGCGATCCATGTGGCCGAGTGTGTGTGGATGCAGAACACGCGGCTGCCGAAGCATAGCGTTTTCACGGGATCGGCGCTGTGGTGGAAGTGGATTGCGGCTACGTTCATCGAGGGCATCGGCAGTGTTAAGCGCTTCGATGGAGAGGTTAGACGGCTGCAGGCGGAGGGGAAGAAGGCCCATTAGATCGCAGATACCCTGTGCGGTCATGACGATGGGGGATGGGGGATACGGGGATGCTCAGGAGGGGTTTACTATAATACCTACACTGATCCCAGCCTCGCCGGACAACCCCATTTCCCCCGAATACTTCTCTTCCCAAGCAATAGCTGCACAATCGTTACGCGAGACCAGCGTGATCGCATAGGTACCATACCGATAAATGTCGGTGAAGGAATCCTGTCGGATGTCCTCGAGCAGGAAGCAGGGCGGGCGAGTGACGTCGATGATCGACCTAACGATCGACTCAATGATCGACTCAATAATCGAATATGTACCTAGTGATATCATTATGTGAGATATCATGGCATGATCTTGGAAGACGTAAATGACGGGATTTGTCTTTGTATCTCCTTATAAACTCTCTTTTGCCCGTTCACTCTCATCTGTATCTACTATCCGACGGATCGCAAGTTTAGACCTAGAATTCCAAAATAAGTACGCGAATCTACTCAACCCGGAACATCTCCAAAAGTAGGCCATATAAGTCCAAAGAATTGGCGAAGAGAGTTGTTTTCTTGGCTCTGGGCTACGATTTAATGAAATTTGGAAAATTTCACGCTTGTGGTTGACATTATAAAGGTGAAGACGCGTGAGGGATCTTCACCATCTGGCAAGCCGAAATTTCGGATACAAACCTGCCTTGTTCAGCGCGGAAATCGTCATCTACATAATGGCCACCTCAGAGCACAAAGACGTGGTATATTAAAAGCCCTTGACTGTCACCAACTCTTTAAAAGACAAAGCATCGATGAATAAATGCTGCCGCATAATATATCACTCGCTCAAACCTGGCAGAAACATAAATCACACTCCTGCCGTCTCAAAACCAGTCCCGGAAGCCCAGATTTCACCAAATGTGTTCTACAACACTACTCTATCGTATTCCAAGCGTCACATCGCCAGCTGCCCTGTTGTGGGACGCCATAGAAGCGGTCCAGGTGTCTACATTCTTCGCAAAATTCAATGCCCCGAGTAGTCGCCATTTTCATTCTTCCATATTTACCTCTAATAGTATCATATAATCTTTCATCTTGCTACGAAAGGTAATTGAGCATAAAACCTCCCTTTGCGACCATAGTTTTGATGGCATAGACCGCCGGACAAAAATCTGCCTCTTCTTGAGAGGAGGAGAACATGTCAACATTTGCGCCCAAAATCCAATGATCGCGTAAGTCCTGGGGACACCGCTACGTCACAGCAATCTCAGATGCGGCTGCATCATATTGTATGAATTCTAGGGGTTGAGGGCAAGATTTCATGTGTTGGTGGGCCAGTACTTCTCGTGCAAAGTTGTGATAATGACGTGAACTTGTAATTCTGAGTAGAAAGTGTGCCTTAAACAATTATCAGATGATTTGAACCCTTCATTAGTATTAAAGAATAACTCTATCTAGTCACAGCCCTAATCCGGAGTGTTGGTGGTTCCACTGGGTGGGTGGAGGAGTGGCTATTTCTGAGGCGATTTTGGAACTTCAGCGCGTTACGATCCATGGGATAAGCATCAACTCTCTCTCTCTCTTGCGCTCACATCCGCTGTGACAAAAATAAAGACTCCGCGCCACCCAATCCCGCTTGCTCCGACCCACTAACAGCAGCCGACAGCCGCTCACATACCATCACTCGCTACTTCTTACAATATTTTAATCGGCTTTTTACCCTCGTGGACCCCTCCAGCGCTGAAATTGCGCCCATATACCCCCCTTACCTCTATGTACCTCACATAAAACTTTATAATTAAAGTACGGTAATTGTTTACCACAACAAAACAGATTTATTCCTCCACCACCACCAAAAGCCAGATTGTAGTTCTACCCAGTAGAACCACCTATGTAGCTGCCTATTTTTCGGTTTATTCAGTAATTGCTTACCTATGTGGCTGCCTACATTTAGGCGCATAGTAGCCAACACCCGTGCAGATGCTGCAGCGTGGCGGAGGTTTATTAGGCACGTCCGGCCGACTAAGTCCACCATTGCTAGGAGTGTACTCCTTCCTCCGCATGTCGCCCTTCTGTACTCGCTTTTTTTGCCGGTCTACCCCGCGGTATCTTGGTCAATGGTGGCTTGCAGACAAAAGGAATATTTAGTGATTGAGAAATGAATTTTGTTGTGGTGAAGAATTGCCGTACTTTAATTGACCTAAAATCTGGTCTTTGGTGGTGGTGGAGAAATAAATCTGTTTTGTTGTGGTAAACAATTACTGTACTTTAATTATAAAGTTTTGTGTGGAGTACATCGAGGTAATGGGGGTACATGGGCGTAATTTCAGCGCTGGAGGGGTCCACGAGGGTAAAAAGCCGTATTTTAATTTTGTTCCATCATTCCGCACTCGCCCGTTTGCCCATCATGACGGACGGTTGAACACCTCAATTTCATATCAATCTCATCTCCTTCGAGTCCTACGTAGTCCCACCATTCATGAGACGGTGGGAGGGGGTGGGCGGCGCTTGACCCGTTGATGCACCTTCCTTCATATTCAATTCCGGAGTCGAGGTGGTATGTGGACAGTCTTATGTACCATGGCCGCGAGATCAGTCGAGTACAATACGAAACTAAACGCAAAGCAAAAGCAAAACAAAGACCATACTAGTATAGCTGTTCGGTACGGTATCGTTGAGACCACTTGCCAGAAGCCACAGGAGATAGGTACCTTAGATAGGGCAACCTCGACGCTCTATTCGTATGTACTGTACTATCGCATCTATGATCGTATTACACAGTCTCCTCAAATCACCATTCCATCCCCGCTCCATCCCCGCTCCATCCCCGCTCCATCCCCGTTCTATCTTCTCCCTTCTCCCCGTCTATTCCCCGTCCTTTGTCCTTTTCCTGGTCCTCATCCTCGAGCACGTCAGTTCACCCACCCACCGTCCACCGTCCACCCTTCACCCTCTCCATCCACAGGCACAGGCACATGCACACACATATGAGTAGGTAAAACAGCCTTCTATGTTCTTTATTCATTCTCTCCTCACCCTCCCCATCCTACATACACTCTAGTGCCCACGATCTTGAAGAAAATCCAGTTTCTTTCGCTTCCCTTCTCTCGCTCTTCCCATACACCCTCAGACCTCTGCGCCCTCCCCGTACACCATACCATACACGCCCTCTGCGCCCCCAAAGAGTAACTAGAATCGCTATATAACTGTAACTGTAACCCACAATAAAGATAATAAGGAAAATGGAATAGGTAAAGTAAACAAAGGAGCGAATCGAAGTATTGAAATCGAGAAAGAAAAGAAGAGAAAGAAAAATAAGAATAAACACTAAGTACTCGGGTTAAAAGATAAATAAAAATATGAACTTTTTGTGAAAAGGAAAAGGAATAGGAAGTGGGGATAAGTAAAGTAAAGGTAAGTAATGGAGAAAAATGTAGAAAAGAAATAGGAAACTGCCAGCCAGGCAAGGTATCAAAGATTCAACAAAACACAAACGCAAGGAAACAACCCCCTCCCACTCCCCCGCCCGCCCCCAATCCCTATGCCAGCCGAAGTGACAGAAATAAGATAACAAATAATAATAAAAGAAACGCGCCAGCAATCCTTTAATGCCAAAGCAAGCAACACAAAGCAAAGTTAAACAAAACAAAACAAAACAAAACACCTATCGCATACATATCTGCTTCAATACTCAATCCTCATCCTCCTCCAGCGTACTCCCCATATCGCTCCCGCCATTCCCCCTGCTCCTATCCCGCTTCCCCTCCCTCTTCGCCGCGCCATTAGGCACTAGGTGCAGCGCGCTCCACCGCCGCTTCACGTTCCCCATGCCCTTCTCGAACCTGCCGGCGGTCTTCGGCCTGTCGCGCTCATCCAAGCTCTCGCGGCCGCGCGCCGGACCTGCGCTCTTGGAGCTCTTCCTGCTGCGGCTGGTGGAGACACTATTGCTTCTAGATCTAGAGGTAGACACCGACCTCAGCGACTCGGGCGGGGGCGGTGGCGGGGGCGGCGGCGGATGTCCCGCCGGCATCGGCGGCATAGCTGGGCGGTAGGACACCATGACTTCCTTTGCGCCGCCGTTGCCAAAGATCATGCTGGTGAGCCTGCGGCCGGTGGACGCGGACTTCTCCGTGTTCGCTTCTGAGCGGACGGACATGCTGCGGTTGAGGCGGACTTGTGGTGGGGGTGCGGTCAGCGGTGTTGGGTGGTGCTCTAGTTTGTGGATCTGCGCGGATGTCGCTTCGTGCACTGATTGCTGCTGCGAGGAGGTAGTGGTGGCTTGCGGTTTCCATTGCCCTGGGGGCACCGAGGGCACGGCGAGAGGTGGTGGACTGGCTTCCGCTAATTCACGTCGGAAAGTCGCCTCGAACGCTTTCGAGCAGTTAGCCTGCACTGACCGGAGGTTGTCAGGAACGATGCGGGCGTGCGTGCTCAACGCCTTCTTAATGATGGCCACATGCTCGGCCAACACTGTTCTCAGCGACTCCCTCAGCTCCTCCTTGGTCTCGTGTTCCTCGAGCAGGTTCCTGTAGTTAGCGACGCTCTTATTCGCATCGACAGCGTTGGTGAGGCATATCGAGAACGGCGAGACATCAGCGATCTTCTGTTCGGCGTACTTATGATCGAGCTCCTGCAGTTCGCGTGTGCGGCGGAGAACCTCTTCGATCGCGCGCTCGACAGGGGACACACCCACAATGACCGAGTCGAGCACTTCGGACCGTTTCAGGATCGCCGGGAACGGCTCGACCGTGATGAACACCGTCTTCTCGGTCCACGCATCCTCCGCCGTGTTCTCCTCGGGCTGGTGCGCGATGCTGAACGCCCTGATGCCGCGCTTGGTGAGGTAGTCCCTGACATTGGCTGGCACGCGCTGCTTGCGGTACGCCGGGATCGCATAGTTGATCTCCGGGGTGACGGGAAGGATGTGGATGAACTGCCCCTCGACGCTGTCGACATGATCATCGACGAGTCTTGCCGCCGGATGCTGCATGAGCATGCGGTCCGCAAACATTTGCACGCCCTCGTACGGCCCCGCCTGCACGACAAACTGCCTCTCCCGCAGTCCGACGGGGAATCCCATTCCGTAGTAGGCAACGCGGTAGAACCGGGGCTCGCTCTTGTTGCCCTCAAGGATCGACTCCTGCAGCTTCGCCATGGCCCGATAGCAGCGCGCCAGTTTCGTGTATTCAAACACCGTGTGCTCGTAGTTATCCGCGAGCTCGCGGTACGTGTCCAATGCCAGCTCCCAGCTGCGGCCGTCCTCGAAGTAACCAATCATCTCCAAGAACAACTGCTCTCGCCGCTCGAACGCCGTCTGTTCCGGGAACTTCGGGTCCGTGAGAGCGGGCACGCGCTCGTGCACATCCCACGTGTAGAGATCCGCGTGTAGTTTCAGCGACAGCGCCGCTTCGACGAGGTTGTTGGATTGCAGCTGCACATTGACCAGCTGGTGGACGTAGCGGATAAACATATCCTCCTTGCGCATATCCTTGAGGAAATCCATTAGTCGCAGGGTGTCCATGATATGGTAAGCCTCGCCGAGCGGCGTGTTATGCACGGCGACGAGGAGATCCAAGAACTCGTCGACTGTCCTGAGCAGCACACCCACCGTCTCCGAGAGCGGGTCCTCGGGAATCAACGAGAGTGGCTTAAACAGCTCGATGAGATCGGCAATGAACAGTTTCTGCGTGATGCTCTCGGTCAAACGCTTACTCTTGAACAGGCGGTCGAGACTCTGCAGATTTCATCAGCCCAGCACACACCCACTTCACGGACACCCCATAGAAGTGCGGAAAAACAAACATCAATCATCTCTGCCTGAATCACGCTGAGATCCTGACTAAGGGTCCACTCGCTGACGACCATGGTTTGAAGCACCTCGACGGCGACACTGCGGAGGCCCTCGTGGACACTCAAGCACAACTCGACGATCGGCGCTACAAGGCCTGGCACATACTGCACCTGATACCCGCCCATCTTCTCGATCGCAAACCTCCTCTTATCATCGGAGCTCGTCTCCCACCCAATCGCCTCCCACGTCCTTCTCAACAGATCAGCGCCGACCTCGCGCACGTCCCCGGCAACTTTCCACACGGCGCGGCGCTTCTGCTCGGGAAACGTCTCCAGGGCGAGGGCATCACTGCCGACGAGCGTCAGCAGCGTGGAAAAGAACGCCTGCCACAAGTCCATGTTGAACCTATCGGCGTCGTCGGGATCGGGCAGGAACGAGTCGACCAGGATCCCCGCAAGATTTTCGAGCGTGCGCATGGTGCTCTTATGCTGGTAGATGTGCACGCTGAGCCACGACTCGGGGAACGCCTCGCACTTGAGGATGCTCATGTGCACCTTCAGCACGTCCATTAGCAGCGTGGCGAGGTCGTCCTCTAGCAGGACCAGGTGCAGACTCGTGGGGATACTCGACATCGCCGCCAGGATCGCCGAGAGCTCGATCAGCGCTTCGTCGAACACCGGACCGGAACCTTCTGTCAGCGGCAGCGGCTTCGACGGGAACGGATATGTCTTCGGGAAGAGCAGACTGAAAGAGTCCCGTTCCCCATGTCCGTGCGCCTGTATGATCCGGTACGAATCCACAATCTTGGGGATGTACTCCGACACCTCCTCGGCGAGCTCCTCGACCTGTTCCGCGATGACGCTGCAGCATAGCCGCACCTGCTCCCGCCATTGAGTTGTGACCTCATACGTCCTCCCCCAATGCGGCTCCAGCCACCGAACAGTGTTCACCGTCAACGCGCGGCGATCCTCCGGTAGCGAAAATAGTTGGCTTCGCGAGTAGTTAACGATCAGCACCAGCTTGTACAGCACCAGCTTCCCCTTGACATTGAGACACGAGTCCATAAAGTCGATAGCGACGAGTAGAATATCCTCCTGCGTCAGCACACCGACCAGCTCCGGCAGCCACTGATGGAAATGTTGGACAGCCAGCGTCTGTGAGCCGACCAATCGCGGATCAGCGCTCTGCATCAAGTTCTCGAGCAGCTTGAACACGCCGCGGAGATCTTTGGTGAACGACTGGGATCCGTTGATACCGATGCTCTTCTCCTTGAGCACCTGCTTCTCGCGCGCCTTGACGATGAAGTGGAACATGTGCTTGCCGACCTTGAACGCGGCGCGCAGCCGCACCGAGTTGTCGATATGCGACGGGTCGTTGAGCAGGCGCGTGAACGAGCGCAGCAGACACGGCGCCGCGAACGGGTAGTCGAAGAGCGTGTGGATGTATTCGTCGACGATCGGCTCCATGTTGAATCTGCGGTCGTTGACGATGCCAAGTACGGTGACGACGGCGTTGAACACCAGGTCCTCGATCTCGGCCTTTGACGTGTTCTCAACAAGCACCTCGAAGAGCGCGTCGAATACCTCACGCAGCAGCTTGACGATCTCCATCTCCGGCACAAAGACAACCTTGCGGAGGCAGTCGATGAGCTCCGTCTGCGCGAGTTCCTTCCATCGCAGCAACGACAGCAGAACATCGTCCTGCGAGAACACTGTGCTGCAGAGGAAACTCTTGACTTTGATGTGCGAAGGCGCGCCGCCCATGGCCAGGGCCGCCGCCCATCCACTGGGATCGGGAATCCACGGCGTAGCGATGTACCCGCTCCCCAGCGACCCATTCCCGAACGGCAGCGCCGTATCCTCGTCGTACTTCTGCAGCACCAGCTCGTGCTCTCCATCCTTCAGGAACGAGCCCTTATTCCACAGCGGGAACCACGCCATCGCCGCTGGCGGGTTCGGAATCCCCGAGAGCGAGAGGAACACATGCGCATCAGGCACGTCTTCTTCCCTCAGCGACAGCCGCACGGTCTGGCTCCACGTCTCGTCCCTCGAGGATATCGTCGCCGATTTCCATATCGTCAGGCCGGGCGAGTTCGCCGATGGGAAGATGACGTTGCCAATCTTCTCGCCCGAATTCCGCCGCACTTCCATCGATAGCTGTAGCTGACCGAACTGCGACCACGGGGGCAACGGCGTCGAGCCGATCTTGGGGTGTACGAATACGGCGTGCCGCGGGAGAGTCAGTGACGAGAGCGTGATGTAGATGTCGCTGCGGGGCTTGGTGGGCGCGCCGGTGAAGCCGATCTTGCGTGTGGGCGTGACTTGGTGGAACACGGTTGGCATGCTGCGGATGAGCTCCTCCGCGTCCGGAGCCGGGAACGGCTTCATGTATATCTGCAGTTTGTCGGCTCGTGCGTTCTTCTCGTGCGGCAGTCGCATGTCGGATGCCGCTGAGGACTTGCGGTAGTTGGAGCCCAGCATCGGCTCGGGGACGGAGGGACTCTTGGTGCGTGCCTCGATCACATCGCGCACCAGCCGGTCCCAGTCATCGATCGACTCGGGGGTGCTGCTGCTGTTGTTCTTGTCGCGCACGGAACCCTTGCCGGCGCCGTCGGTGGTGGTCGGCCGCTGAGGGATGAAGATGTGCATCACCTGCTCGGCGCCTTGGTCCTGCTTGATGAACCTGCCAATATCCAGCACGCCGACGCCGATTGCCTTCTTGAATTCCACCATCTTAGGCTTCAACTGGGGCATCGCGGGGATGGGCGGGGTATAGCCACCTGCCGACGACGCAGGACTCGACGGGGTGCTATCGTGATCTCGCCGCGAACTGCCGGACTTTCCTGCCGACTTCACTCTAATGTCGTTTTCCTTCCCCGGCGTTTTCGGCCTGGGATTGAACAGCACACTGACACGTCCCTTCAATTTCTTCTCCTCGCGGGTAGGCGATGCAACCCGTGCGTGGTGGTGATTGATCGCCTTGGCCATTCCGCCGTCGACTCCACTTGCGTTCGACTTGGAGCTGCTGCCACTGCTGCTACTCCCCGCGTTCGGCCCCGCGCACGCCATGCTGCCGTTGGTGTAGACTCTCGCAACGAGAAACAAATCCTCGGCATCCCTCGCCGATATATCGGTGAACAAGGCCATCAGCCTCGCCGCTTGGTCGATCGGCTTGCCGCTCGCATCGAGTTCGACGATCAGGGACTCCGAGACGGGCTTGTTGGCTTTCGTGGCGAGGTAGTAGACGATCGTGGTGGGTTCGGTGTTGCCATTGCCCCCAATGAATCCGCGGTGTTCGAGCTGCAGATGATTCCTCCTCACCGCGCCATCCTCCTTCATCCTCGGCGGCTCGTCGAGCAGCGACATGACGCTCTGCAGCTGGGTGATCTCGACACTCGAGTCCTCTCCCGTGAGTATCCTCCCTGTGACCGGATCCCGCACGATGATCTCCCTCCCCAGCAACTTATTCCCCTTGACGAGCCTCCACACGGTGTCCTCCCTCGTGCGCACCAACTCCTGCCTAGTAAGCACATCATTCAGCAGCTGCCTTCGTGACAGGTCCAGCTGCTGGACCAGCGCCGAGAACTCGTCCAGCAGCGGGTACTGCCGTCCGAGCAGGAGCTCGTGCAGATTCGCCGCATGCCACTCGCGGAGACAACTTGCTATCTCGTCGACCAGTGGCTCTCCCTCATAGCTGCTAGTTTCATCGCCGACCTTGAGCATGGGCACCGGCGCGGCGGGCCGCGGCCGGTCAGGGTTCCTACTCCTATGACCAGACCTACTCCCACCACCGCGCATGAGCGAGTCCCGTTTCTTCCTGCTGCGGTTGCGCTTCAGCTCCCGGGCTCTATCCACCTCCGCCGCCTGGTCCGGATCCTCGTCCTCCATATCCCCCTCCTCCTCCTCATCCTCCACCATCCCCTCCGCAGCGGGGACCTCCGTGGTCAAGAACTCCTTGACGTCGACGCACGCGGCCGGGAAGATGCCGGAGAACACGCGGGCCTCAAGCGTGGCGCCCTTTGTGCTCGTCAGTCCCGCGAGCAGCGACGGCGGCGCGACAAGATACCCGCGGAACCATTGCCCCGACGCGCACTGCTCGATTATGTACAGCTCATCGCCAAGCTCGAGCGGGAGGTCGTCGCGCGTCGATGGGTTGAACGGGTACGTCGCGATCGCGAAGGCGATGCGTGGAAGCGGTGTCCACGGCATCGAGTTAGTTCATTGACTGTAGGGCTGGACGGGCGGTGGTCAGCGAGAGCTGCGTGGTCGGGGTGGGCAGTATGTGGGACCCTGTGTGAGTTCGTTCGTTGCGTTTCGTACGTCGGTTCGGTGGGGATTCGGGGGTGTATAGTATAGCAACCAGAGTAGTCGACTGCTGTGTAAATGGAACGCGTATGGGACGAAACGATTGTGTAAACGAGCGTGCGTGCGGAATCGAAAAAGTTCGCGGTACAGTGGTTAACGGGGGTTAATTCAAGAGTGAAGGTGTGAGGTGAGTTGCGATGGAGATGAGGATGGAATAGGAGATAGTTGGTTGGTTGGAGGGTACCTTCCACCGTAACTACACTACGCAAATGGACAGCAAATGATAACTACCGTGCCCTCTTTCGACCCATGGGTACTTCCGTTGTCTGTGAAACTTCAACCAACAGTTTTGGCTTTAGTCTTGTGGTCCCTTTTCCCCTTCCTGCATTCTTCTCGTTCTTCTTCCTGTCTCTGGATTCCTCCTACCATCTATAATTCCACATCGTCATCAAATCCTTCACGCGCATTCACAATCGCGATGCTGGCAAGCTCATCACATCAGGCACCCACTCGCCCCTTCCCCTCGCCAGCTCCCCTTGCTCGTGCAGAAGATCCATCTCTACTCTAGCCAAACACAAGAACTGCGCACGCGAGAACTCAATTCACCCCCTCATTCTCCGGCCCTTCTGCCATGAGCCCCCATTCCCATTCCACCCGTACAACCCATAGAACCCATATCAACCTCAACCTTCACACCCTCCCACGCGAACCCTTAAACGGCCCTGTCTTCCTTCCCTCTCATCCTCATCCCCATCCGTTATTGGTTTTTCAATTCCTGGGGACCATGCACTGCAGACCGCACACCCACCGCACACCCCCGTCCCCGTGCACGGAACCGAGCCAATCACTTCCTTGGGTTTGCGGTTTTGCGTTTTCCGTTTTTTGCGGCACGGGCCCCTTCGAAGCTTCGCCGCTCTAGCCCCTGGAAATCCACAGAGAAACGAATTCCCTCCTTGAGCAGAAACAAATAATTGATGTGCGTCGTGAAAACATCCCTCAGCTCCGCCTCCTCCAACAGCCAAAATCACCGCACCGCAACGAGACGAAACGTAAGGAAGGTGCCATTGTTGGTGTTTCATTTTATTTCGTTTTCATACCATACCATATCATACATATACCCAGAAGGCCCCTGTCTAATTCCCAAAGTGGTGGGTGTGACATCTCGCTTCGGCCGGTCGGTCGGGGTCGGTCGGGGTCGGGCGTCGTCGGTCGGGCGTCCAAAAGAAACGAGGTCGGACCTTGCTAGGGACCCTGCGCTAGTGAATAATTAGTGAATAGCCGGCGGTGATCGCAGCGGGGATAGGGGAAGGGGCGGGGAGGGCGGCCGATGCCCGAGGCCCGCCTGCTCCGTTTGCTCCGTTTGCTAACTATTTTATTGCTATTCCGTTCAACATTGCTATTCCATTTCTATGTAATAATACAGCGCTCTCCATCGCCATTCGCATTCCATTGTAAAGATCAAACCCACAAACAAGAAAGCAAAAAGCAGAAATACCGAAACGAATCGCCGAACCCCCCATGATCGCAGAAAGCAAAAGAGTAAAAAGAGTAAAAAGAGTAAAAAGAGTTGGAGTTGGAGAGTAACTAAACCGAGCAGAGAGAAGAAGAATGAAGAATGAAGAATGACCATCATTCCTACATCATTACCTCCATATAGCCTCCTTAAGAAATGGCAGAATGTAGATGCAAGGGATCCATGAAAACGCGGGAGTACACACATCTCTACTCCTTGACATCCTCCTCCCTCTTCTCCGCCATAGCATGCGCCGCCGAGATCCTCCCCTTCTTCCTCGGCTTCTTCCCCCTCACAGGAGTCTTCCTGTTTCTATCCCCCAGATCCTCACCCTCACCAAGCACACTCCCAGCAGCACTCTCACTCTCCTCGCGCTCCCTCTCCTCGACGGCCTTGGTAGCGAGCAGTCTCTTCTTCGCGCCCACCTCCTCCGCGCCCCGAAAGTCATCAACCATAGCCTGCACTGTCTTCGCCATCTCGACCGTTTCCTTGACGATCTCGGTCGAGATCTTGTTGTACATGACCGCGTTGGCAAACATGCGGAACAGCTCCTTCTCGAGCTGCTGGGAGTTGACGATTCCGCGGGGCGGGGTGACGGCCGTGGTGGCGGGCGTGGTGACCGTCGTGGTGGTCACGACGGTCGAGGACGTGCTGGGGTACAGAGGTGGCATGTCCGCGGTTGTCGGCGTCGCGACGGCGCTGGTGGTCGATAGCGATTGCATCGCCACGGCGCCGGCTTTGACGGCTGCTTTGATGCCTGGGGGTGGTGGGTTAGCTTGTATCAATATACGCACACATCAGATCAGAGGAAACAAACTCTTGAGATCCTGCGGTCTGAAGACGAGATTCTTATAGCCAGGTGCCAACCGCTCCGGCACAGGCGCCGAGAAGAGGTTTGCGAACTTGTGGGAGAAGATATTTCCGATCAGCGGGGTAGCCAGCCCGCTGAACCTCCTGTAGGCAGTAATCATCGGCTGCTGCCCGGCGGTCAGGGTCATGGGCGGCGGGATCGTGAGCGCGCGTGGCTGCGGAGGCCGAGAAACGCTCGGCGACACGTTGGAGCTCTGGTCCTGCTCGTCTTCTGTGTCGTCCGTGCCCCCCTCCGGCGGGGAACTCGCCTTACGCTTGCGCGAGCGATGCGCGACCGGCGATGACGATGCGGCAGCAGGGGACTCCGCAGGCTTCTCCGGCTCGAGGGTTTTCATGTCGGCATCTCCATCGCTCGCCTTCCTAGCGGCAGGCTCGGCTGGCGTTTCCGTGAAAGTCGACGGAGTTTCTGTAGATTCCCTCTTTGGTGTGTTGATAGGAAGGGCCTTCGTCGAAGGGGTGTCGGGGCTTCTCCTGGTCGGCGGAGGGGGCAGCGAATTCTTAGTTGTAGCCGCCGGTTTCGACGGAGTTGCGCTCCTAGCAGGACCGGGAGTCTTCGGCGCGGTATCGCTCTGTGCATCAGCCGTCTTCTCCTTATCCCGTCTCTCCAGCCCCGTAGTCCTAGCACCAGCTGTAGCCTTCGTGGATCCACGCGGCCTCCCGCGTCCATTTCCTCTCGTAGACTTGCCTCCTCTTGAACCGCCACGGCCCCCTCTCGCCGACGGAGTGCTCGGAAAGCCCTCGCCCGCAGAATCGAGTACATCCTTCAACTTTGGCCTCTTAGGCGGCGCTGAAGCAGCAGCAACACCCTCCTTCTTCGCCGATACCGATCCCACCGACGACGACGGGCCCTCGCCACCTTCAGCCGCCAGCTCTGATACTTCCAACGGTCGCTTCCTAGGCCGACCGATAGCCGCTTTGCCCTTCTTGCTTGCAGAGGCGGCCGCCGCCTTGTTCGCATCCGGTTTCGCGGCGATAGCAACGAGCGACTTCGGCGCGCCGGCGTGTCCTGGGGCAGCTTGACAGGGAGTAGCAGTTGCTGTCGCGGCGGGCTTCGGCCGTGCATGCGGCAATGGCGACCCGGGTGGAGTGCTGATCGGCGAGATATCGTTCGAGCTGGGCTGGACGGGCGAGCCGGGATCGTATCCCACAGGAGGGGGCATGGTGCTTGGTACGGCTGGCTGGAGCACATTCCTTGCGCCTGCCGTCACGGGGAGTGCGGGGTGTAGCTGCATCTGCTGCATCGGCGGGAGTGGCATTGGCTGCTGCTGCTGGTTGTGAGGATGCATTGTGTTCTGCGGAGGCGGCGGTGTGAAGGCGTATGGTCCGTACTGTGGGCTCCCGCCGTGAGGCGACGAGAAGCCATGCGGATGCGGATGCTGCTGCATGGGGTGATGGATTGATTGCGGCGTGCCGCCGGGACTGTTCTGAGGTGCATACATGACGCCGTAAGCGGGCACTGGCGGCAGATGTGGTAGTGGCATCGGCTGCGCGCGTACACCGTGTTGCGGTGTCACCGGTGGACCTGGCACAAACACAGGCTGTCGTGGCGGTGGCACTCCTCCGTGGTTCACACGCACCTGGTGCGGACCATGTGCAGGGGACGATCGAGCGGGCGATATGTGCGGTGGGCGCGCAGGAGATTGCGACGACTGCAGTGGACTCTGGGAAGGTGTGGCGCGCTGTTCTGGGGCCTTGCTGTTATGAAGCCGTTCTCCCGTCTTCACGAGAAGACCGAGTGTACCAGGTGAAGGTCGAGCTGGAACGGGTATGGGAGGCTGTCCTGGGAGTCCGGCCGATACGGAGCCGGGAATGATGCTTCTCGGAGGTGCTGTGCGGGGAGTTTGGATGGGTTTGGCCGCTGACTGGGGAGCAATAGGGGAGTGCGAAGGTGTGACCGGAATCTGCTGTGAATGAACGGGTACCGGTGGTAGCTGTCGGCCTGCAGGGCGAGGCGGCGTTGCAACCTGGCCGTGCTGTTGTTTTCGGGTATCTGTCGAGAGCCGCGGTGGCTGTGGCAGAATCGCAGCTTCTGGTCGTGGGCGCACCTGAAACGTGGGTGGTGGGGGTGGTGGAGGCGGTACCTCCAGAAGCGGCGGGGGTGGTGATAGTGGAGGTGGTGGTGGAGCTGGAGCTGGAGCTGCCGCCGAAGGTGCAAATGAAGGAGGAGGGGGAGGCGGTTGTTGTTGCAGCTGTTGCCTCTGCCGTTCCTGTGCCTCTTGCTGCTGCTTCAACCGTGCTTTCGAACTTCCTCTTATAGGAGGCTTCGAGAGCTGCGGCACCGGGGATCGCTCGGGCAAAACGTGAATAGGTGTTGCGGGTTGGGTCGGCGCAAGAGAACCCGTTTGGGGGATAGGCTTCTTTGCAGAGTCCAATTGATTTTGCGCTGGCGGCGCTGCACACAGTTGATGTTAGCACCATAGATCGGAATTCACAGCCAGCGTAAGAGTATTTACCGTTCACGAGCTGAGGAGTGACCACGAAAGGAACCTCGATGGGAGGAGGAGGGGGAGGCGGCGGCGGAGGTGGAGGCGGCGGAGAAGGAGGCGGAATCACTTGCGCTTGCGGAGGCGGAAGAGATCTGGTTGTCGGAGGAGCTTGAACCGCGGGAACCGCAGGCGTCTGTGGTGTCTTGGGACGCCGTGGAGCCACCACCACTGACGGTGCTGGGGTACTCCCCGCTCTTTCTTGCTCCGCCGGCTTCGGCTCCTTCGGTGCTGCGACCGAAACAGGTGTCTTGGCCGTAGCCGGTGGCAGCCGTGGCATTTCACTCCTCACAATCGGCCCGGGAGCTACGACGGGAACCAGGGTAGGCCGTTTGACAACAACCTCCACCACTGGACGCAGCGCGGGGGATGCCGTCTTCTCGGCGGCGAGTGACTCTCCCTTCTCCGGCGAAACACTCCTGCTCTCGCTCCTACTCCTACTCCTCGTCCTCGTCCTCTCACGATAGTCTACTTGCAATCTCTCATCCCAATGTCCAGCTGTGATTTCCTTGATGTCACGCTGCATCTGAAAGTACTGCTTCTCGTCCTCCCTGATGGAAGCTATAATCGTTTTCCTGAAGCGTTCGTACAGCTTTACGGTAGCACGATGCAGCAGCGCCGGATCGACAGGAGCCATGCCGTCGTCCTCAATGATGTGGAAGACGTGTTTCCGCAGGGCATCGGGCTCGAAGCGCTCGCGGTCGTGGGTAGCGTCGACGAGCGGATTGTTCATTAGGATCGAAGCCGCCGCTTGGAGCGACTCCATGCTGACCCCGCCGGCGCCAACTAGGTTGTGGAAGAGCAGAACCGACTCCATGGGCTCGTACCGCGCCGAGTGGGCTTCTGCGGAGGCCGTCATCGTAGCGAGTGGTAGCGGGGGCGGCAGCTTCCGCGGGGGCGGGGGATGGGCTAAGGTGCGCGCGTCGCGGTGAGGACGGTGGTATTGGCGGTTGCCGGAGCGTGCGCAGCGGCCGCGGCGGTGGTGCTGGTGGTGATGCTTGCTGCCGAGCAGCGCGCTCGCGGGCTTCCTCACGCCGGACACGTCCTGGTGTACGATGGGCTGAGACCATTGTGTGAGCATTACGATGGCACGAGGGGGTACTTCGAGGTAGATAGGCGAAGGCCGGGTACCCACTGCTTGCTAATAACTGTGTCTCGTAGTTCGAAGTGGCTTCGTGAGAGTTTCGATTTGAATTCTTCTGGGGTGGTTGTGTTAACTTCGCGTGCAGATGAGGATGGATGCGGCTCAGCGAGGCGCCATGAGCTAGTTACGCAGAGTTGAACACCAGCCACAGTGGAGCAGCCACAGCAGCCACAGAAACCATTGCAATCTCTCACTACCTGAGCCCCCACGAAACTCTTTTACTAGTAATCCAACTAATTCTTCGGAACAGAGAGATCCCGATTCGCCAGCGGCAGTGAACATAGCGAGTGATGACCCCCAACGTCGTCTGCTATTCGAATCCACTGACAGCTTCATTCGTGTCGAAGGACTCTCATCATAACCTTCCTCAGATCAGGCTTTCTACGACCTGATAGCTTTTGTGTGCAATGTATCGGTACACGTCTTTACTTGGCTGTCATCACTCTGCCTGCCATGTCACGAAGTGCAATCACGCTCAGCCACCCACCTCCCTTCTCCATAGTGGAGAGGCTATATGTAGTAGTTATGCGAACTGAATCGAGGTTCTCTCCCTGCCCCACCTACTACTATTAGTACTAATTAGTAGATACTCTATTATCTAGTACCCCCTCCCAGTTGTCCAGTCGGAACCCCGTCGAATAGTAATCCTCAAGGCACCTTACCCAAAACCATTCGAACTAGCAACAGCGCCTACACCAGTCTCGTATTCGAGGCGGATTTCATAGCGTTTGTGGATAAACCTCGCCTGTGTGCCTGCAGGATTGCCGATCTTGCCGGGGATGACTCTTCGCGCCCTGGCATATACTAAGAACTTACCACAATGCGAGAGCGAAGTGGTGCAGGCTTGGGGATGCATATCGGGCTTGGAGAAAGGAAGGGGTAGATGGAATAGAGTATAAAGAGCAAGAGGCGCACTCCCCGCAGGCCAGATTCTTCACAGCTCTCAGACCCTCGTTCAACTTCAACTTTAACTTCAACTTAACTTCGATCACACTCTTTCACTCTTTCGAACGAACTCCACGACACAAATCGATAATGCGTTTCCACGTCCTTCCCTTCCTCGCCCTTGCCGGCGCCGCCGTCGCTCAGTCGTCTGCGTCCGAGTACGTCCCCTACCCCATATCCCCTCTCGCACACCACTAACCCCCCACAGAGAGGAAATTCCCGGCGAGTACATCGACGCCGCCGTCAGCGCATACGCCACGATCCCCGGCATGGCCGGCGTCGCCAGCGTCTACAGCAAATACCGCACGGCCTCGGGCTTCTCGTCGGTGCAATCCGAGATCGTCGAGGAAGTCGCAACCTACGCCGTGACGCAAACGCACATCGTCGAGGAGCCTACCGCAACGGACCTCGCTTCACTCGCCACCGACCCGGCAGTCGTCGCGATCGCCGAGGACGTCGTCTCCATCGTCACCAAATACATGGCCACCGAGACCTACATGAACAAGGCCGTCAAGTCCAGCCTCGTCGCAGACGTGACCAGCGTCATCGGTGCTTTCGAGAACTCGGCTGCCCCCACTGCTACCGGCAGCGCCGATGCCAGCGGCTCCGGAACTGGTCCCCTCCAGACGCAGGATGCGAATGCGGGTGCGGCTGGCGTCAGAGCTGGTGTCATGGGTGTCGTGGCGGCTGTCGCTGCCGTCGCCCTCATCGTATAATCTGCTGTTTTGTCATACTTCTTCGATGTACCTTTTTTTTAAAGCGCAATATAATACCAAATTCGTCAAGGACCTGATCGCAGTGACACTTGATACTTGTGATTTAGCTGTGGAACTGTGAACGAGACTCGAAATCACGTCTGAGAGAGAGAGAAGTGACTGTCCACAGCGAGACCATCAATCCACACCACTCACAGCAGTAGTATCGGTGTTGGTCGAGTCTTAACTTTCGTCCGGTAACAGCGAACACCGGTATTCCTGTAGGGATGTCCGATGCATGTGTGCAGCGTGCCTGCAACGGCGGCGCTTACGGTGTAAATATTTGTTGTGTGTGACGCAACTGGCAGATTTTGGAATTTGGAAAGAGTACCGGTAGAGAATGATTAGTAGCGCGCGCGATAGTACAGGATTGGTACGACTCTACTCACCGGTACTCTACTCTACTGTCCTACATAATCGTACCGGTGTCTACGGTACCGGTGGAGTGAACAGCACTGCAGCCAAAGACGCTGGACAGAGAGGATGCAGCATGCAAAACTTTTGCAAAAGTCGTCATGGCGAGCTTGGTATTTACGCATGTACGCACAGTGAAATCACCGCACTTCATACCGGTCAGTGGCGGTGGAGGGCGGAGCACGAAAACCACTGTACTGCGCACGCCGAAACGCGGGGTATGATTGGACAGACTTGTATGTATCATACCCACCATATGTAGGTACTCGACGTACATGTGCCAAGTACCCAGGTTACAGGTATCTCCCTGCGCATCTTGTGAGTCCATAGAGCTGGTGAAGCCTGGTGTTGCTCCCGCCAGAGCTTGAAAGTTGAGGGACTGGCTCGGTGAGTGCAAGCCTCAAGGCACACAGACGATTTTGTCGCTGCGGCGGCAGTGGCCAGGACTGTGCTTCTCTTGAAAGTTGAGACTGGCATTGGTATAATGGTAGCTACTGGTATCCAAGCCATCTAAGCCAAAACCACCCAGGCCGCGTAAGTACTCCCCACTCCCCTCCCCACTCCCCACTCCACGGAGATATCACACATACCCGCCCAGCAAATTGGCAAACGTATGATACCTGTATGTATGTACGGTAGATACTCCGCCACGAAGCACGAAGCACGAACGCAACATGCAACATGCGTGCCGCACGTTGATGGCGATCAAACAGTGAACATGGGAGTATGTAACGACGTAACTGCGTAGCCCGGTATCCACAGAGTATCATAGAGTACGGTAGAGTACCGGGATACAACCTACCAAGTACTCTGAAGAGGGACACGGTTGTAGCGGCCCTGCGGGGATCGGTTATCTAGGATTGTAGGATTGTAGGATTGTAGGTACACAGCACCCCGGTGGGACGCGCAATCGGTGGAGAGGGTGAAGCTCCACCGCTGGACAGTGAAGACTCCATCGTGGGGCGAGCAGAGGTTGTTGGTATTGGTGTTCATACTCCGTACGGTGTGGCCGTCTAGACTTCAGAGTTGATAGCACTCCTTTTCTAAGGGGCCTCCCACATACACACACATTTCTCGCTATTGAGAATACGACTATGATATTATTCAGTTGCTTGCAATTGATTCAATCGCAGAACCCAGTGGATGACCAGCTAGCCATACCATACCTACCAGACAGAAGCAGAAGCAGAAGCAGAAGCAGAAGCAGAAGCAAGCATGAGAATAAACAGAATTATCGAGGCGCACTCGAGGCGCACTTGTGGCGTATATGACCAATATGACAAATATGACAAATGTGCAATATCTTCGACGAGTGACGACAGTGGCTTTTCAACGAGACTCGCAACACTCGCTCCGAGCTGAAAGGGTCGAGTGCGACACTATGATCGACGATTTGTACTCTACATTGGCTGTACGCTGCTACCGGACACATGACACATGACACCCATTCATTCTCCGTTGGTGATGATCTGGATATTTCTCCTTATATGGTATCACTCTGTACATTCCGTCTACATGGTTCCCTATATGCCGCTTCCACCTCACCTTACCTCCGCCTTATCCAAAATATCACGGGAAGCTCCCCCCGCCCCTGCTACTTAATTCGATCAAAACTCGCACCCATCCAAAAATCCATCCAAAAATCCTCCAGAGCTCCACCATCCCTAATGATGTCCCCTGGGCGTAAAATACCCATCGTCCATACCCCCCTCCATCCTCGGTGTGTACGAAGGACTCCCCTCGAGCTCCCTCTCCTTAACGACGGCCTCGAGCTCCGCAATCCGCTTCTCAATATCCGGCACCTGCCTCAGCCGCAGCTCGAGTTCCTCTTTCTCACTACTCATCATTAGCCCCTTTCCTTTTTCCCCACGTAGCTTGCGTAGCTATCTCTCGGGGGGAACTTACTCCTCCAGCTGCGCGCGCCTCTCAGCGTCCAGCTTCGTGAAGACGTACCCGCCCTGTCCATCGAACTGCAAGATGTTCTCGTGGTACATCCACAGGCTCCTGCGGTGGCTAACAGTGATCAGCGTGACGCCCAGCTGCTTCGCCGTCGTGTACAGCGCCTTTTCCGTCGCCAGATCTTGCGAGGACGTGCATTCATCCAGGATGGCGCTAATCGTTCACGTTAGCGGTGTTGGGGGTTGAGTGGGGGGAGAGGGGTGGGGTGCGCACTATTGCGGCCGGTGGTAAAACAGCCTCGCCATGCCAACACGCTGCTGTATCCCGGAGCTCCAGACGTCGCGCCACTCGCGCTCATCGTCCCACGCGTCGTCGCGGACGATATGCGCGATATCGACCGTTTCGAGGATACGCAGGAGGTCCTCGTCGGTCGTGCCACGCCGGGCCATGTCCAGATGGCTATCGGGGTAAATAATCTGCTGGCGCAGCGAGCCGCGCGAGATATACGGGCGCTGCGGAATGTAGAAGATGTCGTCGGGCGGCGGCTTCACCACCGTACCGCCGTATACCGGCCACAGCCCGCCCATGATCCGGAACAGGCTGCTTTTGCCGCAGCCGTTGGGGCCGACGATGAGCAGGTGCTGGCCTGGGTGCACGTGGAAGGTGAGGGCGCGGACTAGCACGTCGCCGTTCGGTGACACGATCGGCACGTTGGTGAATTCGATACTGGGGCCTTCGGTGACGGAGCCCCGGCCGGAGAGGATCGCGGCGTTGGCGGTGGTCGACGCGCTCGATACTAGCTTCTTCTCGAAGTGCCCCCGGTGGATGTCGTCGATCACGTCGAGGAGCGAGGCGACGCGGGAGGTGTACCCCGCCAGCTCGGTGATCTCCTTGTAGCTGAACATGACGCGGCCGAAGGCGTCGGAGGAGGAGAGGAGCAGGCGGCGGTTCGTCACGAAGCCTTCGGTGCGGTCGCCGAGGGTGGCGACGGCCGCGCCGGGGATCTTAATGAACACGGGCACGGAACAGAGGACGAGCCCGAGCGCGCCCCAGAAGTATTTTATCACGAAGTCCTCCATCATGCCGTGGTACAGGCGGCGGCGCAGGATGTAGTTCACGTGCTTGATCAGCGTGAAGTAGCCCTTGTCGAGCGTGGTCTTTTCGCTCTCGTGGCCCGAGTACAGCGCGATCTCCTCCGAGTTGTCGATCAGCCTGCTGTGCGAGAAGCGGAATTCGCCCTCGAGCCGCGCCTCGTCCGCAACGTATCTTCCGAACGGCGGGGTGAGCACGCGCATCACGTTCGCTGACACCTGCACCAGAAGCGCCATGGCGAAGAGCCCCTCGCCACCCACGTTGCGTGATAGCTGCCAGTTGTAGATGAACATGTCCAGCACGGGTTTGGCCAGGTTGGAGTAGATCTCGGCGAGGGAGTTGGAGAACTTTGCGACGTCGACGGTGATCAGCTGGTCGGCGTTCTTGATGCGGTCGTCGAGGTTCCCCAGCGCGTAGAACGTCATCTGCGAGAGGTACTTGTCGTGGATGTGTTGCGTCAACCGCGTGCGGTACTGCAGCGCCAGTTTGCACTGGTGATAGGACAGCTATTCGTCATAATCGTCAGCCAGAAACTCTTCCCTAATCGCCTAAAGAACAGCTCACCATCGAGTTGGTAAACGTTGCCGGAATAGCCACCAGCATCCACCAGACGATCCCCCACAAGAAGTCCTTCCCCTTCCCGCGCACCAGCGCACTAACGAGCTTTCCGTCCAGCTCCGCCACATACAAGCTTATAAGTGTCCGAATAACAAGGAACACACTGTGCGAGACCAGCAGTCTCATCTCCTTACTCCTGACGCCCGGAACAACGATCTTGAGCAGTCTGAACAGATTCCTAAAGAACTCCCTATTGAGCTCCACCTTCCTGCGAGCGGTGATATCGCCAGGTGTAGATGTGGTCTTCCCGGAGGACGAGGACGCCTGCGCGCGCTGTCGGGCGGCGGCAGATTTCTGCTCGGCGATCGCATTGCGGATCCGATTAATCAGCGCAATGAATAGCGTCAGGTACACGGCGCGCGAAATACTGCTGCGGTGCTTCAGGTAGGTGGTGGAGGCGCGCGAGAGGAACGCTGAGAGTGACCGGTCGGACGGCAGCGTGAGCTTCGATTGGGCGGCCATGGCGGCGGGGCCGGCGCTGAGGTGGGTGCCAGTGGGAAGATAATTGCGGGCGAGATGGGAGCGAGATCGAGGGCTGTATGCGAGTGGTGGAGGTGCGTGAAGGGCTGCGAGGAACGTCGAGGACAGTCGAGGACAGTCGAGAATCCGGGGAAGCTGGAGCTGCCTGGATGATGCGTCTCACACGATGGCATGTGAAACGGGTATCCGAGGCAGCTGATGTCACCATGCACGTGAGCAAGAAAGTGCCCAGCCATCGGAGGATTGCTGGAGCTTTGAACCATAGAGACCAGACCTGTCGTATAGAAGTTGTAGATGATCGAGAATCGAGACGGAGTCGTTCCCGGAAAGCTTCTCACCGTGGATCTGAGTAGAGTTCTCTCTTGGGCACTCTTCAACCAGCCGTCTTTTGCGGGGAAGTCCCGTACTTGTCACGGATCCAAAGCCAAAAGAAGCCACCAGCAGAGCCGCCGGGAAGTTCCGTCCACCCGAGATCTCCTCCTCGGATGCGTTTTTCTTGGGATCTCACCAGGCGCTCGGTCGCATATGGGTTTTAGGACTCTATCTTGCACTATTCATGTGGTTGTTGATGTTTATCGAGGCCAGGGACTCTTCTTCCTCACGTGGACCATCTATAGGCCTAGGATTCTCCATGGTCAAGAATCATTGCCCCCTCACCCCCACCATGCTGGCTGGCTGTTGGCCATGACGATCGAGCAGGTGGGGGAGGATGATAAAGAGCTGGATGGAGAGGGAAGAGGTAATGTGCTGGTGATATGGATATTGGCGATGAGATTCCGGGTATATGGGCTTCTGCATGTCCGGAGATCTCTGCGTACAGGTAATAAACGACACAGCCAACGCAGAGGTCGAGACTGGCCGTGAAGGTAAAGAGACAAGACCGAAGGAGTTTGCCTGTTGAAGGACGTATGGAAACATCTCTCCCCTCGCTCATTCTCTCACCCACTCACTCCTCGTGTTGCTCCTTGCCTTGTCACCTACCGCGACCTTTCGTTGTGAGTCCCACCGAACATAGACCGACCTTTCCTATCACCCCCGCCATCCTCTGACCCCGCGGTGATCTCTACATTCCTCCCCTCCCTCTTCCTCCTCCTCCTCCTCCATCTCCTCCTTCACCTCCTCCTCCTACTCCTACTGCTCCTCCACCTCTCGTACTCAACTCCTTCTCCCCCACCATCCTCCACACGCGTCGATACACGACTACCTATCCATCTTACCTACTTCCTCTACCAACACCACACGAGTTCCATCACGCACTCCACACCTCCAAGCGGACACCCCCGAACCGAGCTCAGTCGCCTCGTTATTCCCTCATACAACCTTCAACGCGTACCTACACCTACGAAAGGTCTACGAAAGTTTACACTCATCCATCCAATCAGACATCAAGATGGCTCCTGCTAAGCCCCGTACCCAGTACGGAATGTCTAATGTAAGTGTCCTATATCTCATATCTCCTCATCCGCCGTTTGTTTGTCTGTTTGCTTTGCCTGTTTGCTTGACTACCCCCCACCCCCCGTGTCCTTTCGCGAGCCGTTACGACTTGATGAAAACACCATTACTCTGCAATTCCCTCCGTGTCGCGCGTACCATATACCCTTCCTTGAATTTAGCCTTTCTCTACGGATGGCCCCCCCACTCGCTACCCCCACCCCCTCCATGGCTCTCTTTCCCCACCCCCCTTCCCGGTCCGACATCTCCATTCGGCGCAGAGAAGCGCGAGCCACTCCCGGTTTTCGGCGACTCGGCAATGCATGCACTATGAGTAAGTGCTCGCTCGGCAGAGGCCCACACACACTCCACCACAGACAGACCAAAGCGAGCAGAGAGAAATCCGAGCACATGAACTGGGATCCAGATGCAGGACAGGGAGCGAGAGAGAACTCTCGAGAGATAGAGATGAGGGATGAGAGATGAGATGAGATCTAAGGCTGTTCCCTTCGGAGGTTTTTGAAGGAGAGTTGGACGAACTGCAGCTGGGATCTAAGGCTGCTCTCTTCGGGCTTTTCCGAGAAGAGCCGGATGAACTGGAGCTGGGACCTGATGATGGCCTTTGCGTTCGGGAGCTCCCCATGGGTCCAAACGACGCGGAAGCCGCGGCGCAACAGTAATCGATTCTACTGCCCAGCCATCCATCCATCCACGGTCGGCTACGCATTCGCCAGGCGGTATTCGTCGGAAGCAAGCCACACGCGTCCCATACCGGCTGTCTCGACTACGGCGTTGGACTTTCCCCTAGAAGATTGAGCGGGCTCGTCGACGCTGTCTTGAATTGGACCGCTGCTGCAGACAAGTCGACATCCCGCCGGCAGGGTTTTCGGTCGCTTCACTGGTCACCCACCATCCGCCCAGAGGCCGAAGAGGAAGGAGAATTAAATCCTCGGAAGTCGATCGTCCTGTCCTGATCCTTCACCCATGGTGGGGGCACGGGGCTCCAAAGCAGCTAGTGTTCTCGTCTCACCCATCATTTCCCGAATTCTGGAAAAGATCCTCATCAATTGATTCGAAACGGACGAGCTCGACCGACATCTGTTCTTGATCGGTTCTTCGAGAAGGAATATTATCCATATATACCCGCGCACTCTGCTCGTACGTTTTCGAGGTCGTCAGCAATAATGGGCATCGCAGCACACGAGCAGACGAAACGAACGAACCACGAACCAGCGAATCTCTCGTTCGGTCCCGGCCACCCGAAGCACCCAAGCGCCGCTGCAAGGGTCTCGCCCCACACCACCGCCCACCGGAGCGAGTGCGCCGGCGTAAAAAAATCCGACGCTGCTGCCCCGCCTTTTTTTTCTGGTCAGGGGAAACGGAGCTCATCCGATTCGGGCGCCATCCATTCGCGAGACGACGCAGGCAGGCAGGCAGAAGCACCTGATTCCCCAGGTGACCGTTCTGTTCGCAGGAGCAAGTCCTTCTGGCGCAACACCCCCACCGTGTCTCTTACCCATCGGGCCCATTGACATCACCCGATTTATTGCCCGGCTATCTGTCTGGCTCTACGGGAAGATCTCAGAACGCGCGCCCAGCCTAGAGTATAGATCTGTGCTCATTCCGCACAAGTGCCTCTCCGGAACAACACGCGGGATCAGACCTCGCCCTGCCTTTCTTCGGACCTGTCCTGGCCGCCACTCGCCTGCCCCTCCACTTACCAGTTGGAAGGATCGAGATCGTCTCCACTCCTATCTCATCTCTATTCCGTCTGCCCCTTCGCCTGTCGACCTCCTCCCCGTCGTCGTCGTTGTCCGTCGTCATTGTTCATCGTCTGTCTCCATCGTCGTTCGCCTTCCTACCTGTTTGCTCCTCCTCCCGAGAAGACATCACATACCATCCCTCGGCAATCAGATATCAGTCTCGGTGATCATCACCCAACCTCTCGAGTGTCGTGTCATTCAATTCTCGATACGTGTGCGACGGCCCGGCCCTCTCTCGCCGAACGACTAAGCGGCACGGTCTCATTTGGCAGCCCAGTACCGATTGCGCCATACGACTCAGCAGTCTCCATCACACGCGCGCACTACTCTTGAATCGGCGTTAGACCGGCCGTTCCTGACAGCTCCCTACCTTGAATCGCGATCACTATCCCTGCTCGTCGAGGCTCTTCGCTGCTCTGCTCTGCTCTGCTCCAGCTCTCGACAGCTTTTCTCTTCCTGCTCTCTCTCTCTCCTCCACCACACACTCCCTCTTCCCCCACCATCTCCCTCCCTCTCTCTTTCTCTATCCCCCGCACAAACCAGCACCCACGATACCCCAAATTCCCCACAATCCACACCCCCCATCTTCTTACCTCCACCATTCTTCTAAACTTTACTTCAAATGTCGCGCATGGAACTGCACGTCTTCAATTTGTGGGGCGAGGCCGGCGAGGCGGATGATTACGAGAGGCTCAATGTTGTGTATGGTAATGATACTAATGACAGCTCTGAACAGTTGGATGACGCTCAGATTTGCGTCGTGATGGTCGGTCTCCCTGCCCGCGGAAAGTCGCTCATTGCGCAGAAGAGTGAGTTCGCTGTTTCCTCCCCTCCTCCCCTCTCTCTCACCCCCCCCCCCCCCAAATTCCCTCCACCGAATTCCCGCTCCTCTCCCATTCTCCTCCCTCTTCCTAGTAATTCGGTTACACAACGGGAGCTGACAATGTCATCGCAGTTGTCCGTTACCTCAAGTGGCTTTCGATCAATGCCAAGTCCTTCAACGTCGGATCGTACCGCCGTGCCGACACTCCTCAACCAACTGCTGAATTCTTTAGTATGGGAAACACGCAGGGAGAGAGGTTGAGACGTGCCGCAGCGGAGGCCGCAGTCTCGGACATGCTCAAGTGGTTCGGCGAAGGTGGAGGCCACGTCGGTGTCCTGGACGCCACGAACTCGACCAAGGCCCGTCGCGCTTGGATCAAGCAGCAGTGCGAGTCCAAGGGCTACGAGTGCCTGTTCGTCGAGAGTCGCTGCGACGACGAAGACCTCGTCCTGAGCAACGTGCTTTCTGTCAAGACTTCCTCTCCCGACTATGTCGGACAGGACCCCGAGGATGCTGTGCGCGACTTCATGGAGCGCATCCGCAACTACGAGAAGGTGTACCAGTCTATTGACAACGACGAGGAGCTTACCTACGTCAAGCTCATCAACGTCGGATCACAGGTGACGATCAATGCGGTTGCCAACTACCTCCAGACTCGCATCATTTACTTCACCATGAACCTCCACATTACGCCGAGGTCCATCTGGTTGTCGAGGGTAAGCGGTTTCCCGGCTGATTGTTGTGGATGAGTTGCTGACAATGTTTTAGCACGGAGAGTCGGAGTTCAACGTCCAAGGCAAGATTGGCGGTGACGCGAACTTGTCGGAGCGTGGCTACGCCTACGCTCGTGCCCTTCCAGAGCTCGTCGCCAAGAGCGTCGGCTCCAACAAGGTCACGTGCTGGACGTCGACCATGAAGCGTACAATCCAGACGGCGGCCCACCTCGAGTATCCAAAGAAGGAGTGGAAAGCGTTGGACGAGCTCGATGCCGGCGTCTGCGACGGATTGACGTACGAAGAAATCGAGCAGCGTTACCCCGAAGACTTCCGCGCCCGTGATGATGACAAGTAAGTTGTGATATTGCTCTGACGGGAGTATTTGTATTAACGATTGATGCTTAGGTACAACTACCGTTACCACGGTGGTGAGTCGTACCGTGACGTCGTCATCCGCCTCGAACCCATTATTATGGAAATGGAGAGGGGCGAGAACATCATGGTGGTCACCCACCAGGCCGTTCTCCGGTGCATCTATGCGTACTTCATGAACGTCCCGCAGGATCAGTCGCCGTGGATGGAGATCCCTCTCCATACCATGATCAAGCTCACTCCTCGTGCTTACGGTACGCAGGAGGAACGGTATGTCCCCTCTTACCCCAATCTTCCCCACCCCTCACATACTGACAACCGCACAGCTTCAGGGCCGAGATCCCCGCCGTGTCGACGTTCAGGGCCAAGTACGCGTCCTCGCAGATGGGCGCCACTACGACCGTCGACGAGGCTGCCTTTGTCCCCGCTCCTGCCCTCCAGACGGTGCACGAGTCCGCTCTCCTCCCGGAGGGCTACAAGGCCAACGGACTCGCCGAGTCGATCGCTGCTAATGGCAGTGCCGTCATGGGCGAGTGAATTGGTGGTAGGATTCCCCGACAATTCAGGGTAGTGCTTTACTAGTTAGGCGTTTACTTTGATGTCAACGAGGGGTTTTACTTGTTGTACTGCTCGTTTCGAGGGCTTTTTTTTTCTTTCTGTTTCTTTTTTCTGTTCTTTTTTTCTTGACGGTCGGACTACGACAACTTGAGAACGGTACTGTATGATTACGAGGGATGGTTTTCTTTCTTTCTTTCTTTCTTGTCTTTCTTTTTTCTTTCCTTTTTATCAATTGCTGGTTTGCTGGCTGGATGGCCGGGGGTATGTAGATGCGAGGGGGCTGCGGGCGGAGGGGCGTTCGGGAGTTCCTTTTAGGTCGGGAGAATATATATGAAAGTGATTCGTTACGATTTACATGTAATCTGTGCACCCACACCCACACCGTGACCACAACTCTAGAGTACCGTAGTATCTTGCTACCCCGCTTTGCTCGCGTGCAGTATATAAACCCGCCTCCTCTCCCGTCCAGCTCCCTTCCTCCTTCCCATCCTCCCTCCTCCCTATCCTCACCACCCCGCGGCAGAAAAGGCATAACATCAACGTCCCCATTAATAATTCGCTCGGACCCATGTACACACTGGGTTTTCTGCAGGCAGTCGCCGTAAACGTAACTTTGAAAAAATTTACGTGAGAATACGGAGGAGTGCAAGCAGAGGCCGGGTGATCGACCGACATGGGTCCGTGCGGATTGGTTTTGGTGGAGGTCTCTGGTTGTGCTTTGTTGTGGGTGTGGGAGGGGAGGGGGGGGCGGGGACTACACAGGGGGCGGGGAAGAGAGGGGCGGGGGAGGGGCTACACAGGGGGCGGCGGCCACAAGGGTGTGCGGGAAACAAGGGGAGGCGGGAACGAGGTGGTGACGTGAGTGGTGACGTGAGGGATGGGCGGGGTGATTACGTGCGATAACATCGTAGAGTAGAGCAGAGTAGAGTAATCAACAGCTGCGTGTCGTATCTGCTCGTTGTGTGTCCGCTTTGCTGCGTGTCCCCTTGTGTCCGCTTATGTCGAGGATCGCGGTGATGACTGATCGTGGGCGGTGATCGGGGGGCGGTGATCGCGACGATCGCGGTGACGAGCGTGGCCAACGTGATCGCAGCGATGGCCGACGTGGCTGGCATGGCTGTCTCGGCGGAGGAGAAAGGCGGAGGAGACTGGCTGTCTGCTGCAGTGCTGCCGTTTGCATGCACGCGTTGTGTATGTGCTTACTCTACCTCGGTATCTGAGATGTGGCCTTCGTGTTACTACATCATACATATGATACTCTGGTTGCCATGCGCCACCCAATGCGCCACCCTGGGCGGTGGCGAGTGATGGGCGATGGAGGGGTGAGTGAACGTGGCGTATTTGTTCAAGCATTCTAGCCATAGAGGAGATAGAGTCATGCAAAAGCGGTCAGGGAAGAACGGCGAGGGAACGGCGAGGAGGCTACGACTCCCTCTCGCGCAGTGGTTGTACGCAGTGGTTATGCGTGAGGTCTCAAGTGTGAATAAGTACGTCACACGTGGCAGCGGATGAACGATGAACATCACAGATCGAAGTGGCTGGAGCGAGGGAAACATTCGGTATTCTACCTACGCGGAGCGCGGAGGCAGAGGCGAGGAGGCAGAGGCAGAGACAGAGGCAGAGACAGAGGCAGAGACAGAGGCGGCCTGTTATGTATCATCAGTGAGCGCCTCGAAGCAGGACTTTGCCGGAACCTTGCTGGGACCTGGGTGGGACCTGAGTGGGATCAACTGTTAGGGGAGTGAGACCTTGTCGGGACCTGGTGAGACCAACTGTGATGGAGGTGATGCCATGTGTTCCTGAGGGAGACCCGATACGTTGGTATAACGTGAATATTGCTGCTGTCGCTATTGCGACTCGTCCAGCTCGGCTCGTCTTGTTTTCGTTTTATCATCGTCATCATCATAGAATTCGCTTGGAATTGAGCGCGGGTTTGGGCATAAGGGAGGACGAATCATCGGAGAGGTAACATTGAAGGTGCCTGTGTCCACTACCCGTAGGTACATTAGAGTATCGCCCGCCCATTCATGGAATACCGAGGGGCGCGAAGGAAGAGGCGGATTGGCGTCATCAGCGAGCACCGGAGAGAGGAGTCCTTATTAAGACCTGGTAGGACTCGATGCAGACCCGATGCAGTCGTTGAACATTGAACCGTTTCTTGTTCTAGCCTGCCGAGCAAAGCTAGTATTATATAAATGGACCGGCCACCAGACCAAGTGACCGGCCCCCTGCCGAAGTGACTGGATATACAGGTGACCGGACTGTGGGGTACATTTCTACGGGCAGACCGGTCTACCGCATATTTGTGAGGAGGCCAGTCTGCTCGCAAATTCCCGGCGTTATTTGGTAACTAAAGCATTTTGTGGTGCTATTAGAGAAAGTCTTTTTCTCGCTACCATGAGAGAGCCGTTCCTCTTGCCACCATGAATAGACAAATCACGTTTGACACATTTCATATTCGGCTTCACATCTTCAAACATCATGCCTTTACATATACCGATGCCTCTTCCGAACTTTCCAGTATTGATTGGCAGAACTGAGAACAGTCCACGAGTCGCCGCTGTTTTATCAGCACCCACAACAAGCCCCCGTAGTCTCCTCCCAGCTGCCCAAGAAGCATACAGCCAGAAAAGGGCTCGGTCTACTAGCAACACAACGAAGGTCATCTGTAGCGGTGGTTATATTCAGGGGGAAACTGGAGGGAAAACTGATGGGGAAACCATTGGATGGGTGTTGAGAAAGAGAAAAAGGGTGCACGGCCGAGGGGATGATAACTTATATTCACATGAGCTCTGTGTAAATATTTGAGTATTGACTCCATAGAACATTATTGACTGCTGATATGCTTCACTCCATCGCCGTATTGTGATGTCTACGAATCTGCACATAAATGGTGTCGGGCAGGCTGGTCTACTCGTAAAATATTCCCGGTGGACTGGCCCAGCGAACAAAAATCACTCAGCAGGCCGGTCTACCGGGAAATAATTATCTCCACAGACAGGTCTGCCCAGAATATTTTCTGGCTCGGCAGTCCGGTCAGATCGCATATCCAGTCGCTCGCCCCACGGGCCGGTCTATTTATAAAAAACCCATTTTGCCCGGCAAGCTAGAACATTTCTGTTGTCACTTGTCAATTTTTATGTTCTGCCTGTTCGTCGGTGGGTCTCTTGTAGTTGTCACCTTGTATGTACATCATCATCATCATCATCATCATCATCTCATCGTCATCATCGACCGAGAATTCAAGCTCAATTGATCCCGTTTTTGGGGGCTATCAGTACCCACCATCGCCCCACCCTCCACAAACTCGCACTCGCTTTTTTCCATCCTCCAGGTTCAGATTCATCATTCAGGTTTGGGTGACTCTTGAGTCTTGACTGATGCCGGTGCTCCTATCACGCATTGAGATGATGGGATTCATTGGTCGTGGGAACTGCTGTTCTTTGCTCACTCACTCACTGGTCTGTGCACAGATTACGGAATAACATCGTCTCTCAACCAACGGACTGTAATTGATCTTTTGTTCTATTGTTCCTATGTACGATGCACGCACAGTAAGCTCTTACTCGCGTGCAGCGAAGTAGGTATCGACGTATCGTGCTGCTGAATCTTTCTGGTGCGTTATATACAAGAGAGTCAAGCAAGCACGGGTTAATTGAATGTCAGAGCCAGCGCAGCTGCGCAGGTGCGGATCGATCGATCGATCCATAGATATAGTAGCAGCCGCAGGATTCGAGAGTACCACCGGTCCCGGCCTTCAATACTGCCGCTGACATGATGGCTGGATCCTACAGACTCCATTGTATTAGCACGGCTCTGGCTTAACAAACGGTGGAGGTGGAGGGGAATATATCTTCCCCAGTTGCGGTAGGTAGTTTTACAAAGCTCAATACCTATCCCACAGTCCCCGGAGAGAGTAACAGTACGCGCCGTTAGCCATGCATCTCCACCGTCGTCTCCGCCTCCGCCTCAATCTCGTGGGGGGTGTGACTTACCTCCATCACTCCATCACTCCATCACTCCATCACTCCATCACTCCATCACACCCTCCCTTCCATCCCAACACCAGCAGAAACCAAACCAAACACCGCACCGTAGTTACACAACTCCCGAGCCATAGACCACACAGAACACACCGCAAAATCTACCAAAGAAACAGAAACACCATACCTAAAGAAAAGAAAAGAAAAAAAGAAAACAAGGCTGGCCGGGAGTAAAAACTCCATTCGCCGCCGCCGCTACTAACTAGTGGTTACCTCCAGGTCTAGATATGACACCAAGCCCGAAATCTACAATATTAGAAGAAAGAAAGAAGAAAGAAGAAAGAAAAAGAAAAAGTCAAAGATGAGTCCATTTAAAAGAAGAAGAAAAAGAAAAAGAAACCGCAACCGAAACCGAAACCAACGCCAAAACCGAAAATGCAATAGAAAACGCAATAGAAAATGAAGGTGAATATCCACACGACGACACCCATCACTGGCTGTCGAAGTGTGGACATGGAATAAAAATGGGTAGAGAAACTCCGCGTTGAGCTGGGGGGATATTAGTATTTTCACCCGTGTAGACTGGCAGGAGGAGGAGACGTGAAGCACACACCTCTCAAAATAATGAAGAAAAAACCGGAAAGTTAACGCCGCCGTAAGGTGTGCCTTACCAGGCGACAGGTGCAACGCCGTACACCCCGCAAAGAAAAATTAAAAATAAGTCCAACTATAAAAGACGAGTCAGTACTTGTGACGGCTAAGCGGGGGAGAATCCTGTCCATACCTATCCGCACCAGGATAGGTTCAAAATGTAATCCCCACGATTTGTCAATTCTCGTAATCGACAAACTCGTTCCAGTCTATCGGTTCCTCCTCGTAACTGAGAGGCTCGGGCTGGATCTCGTTACTGCCTTGGACTAGATAGCAGTCCGCGTTGCCGTTGTTTGATCCTGAACCGCTGGCGACGCCGTAGTCTGGGACTGCTGCTCCAGCCGCAGCGCTCGACGAACTCCCAGAATCATAGTCGACTTGGTGTGGGTTCCGGGTGATCTCGTTCCAGAACGGCTGGAGATCATAGTAATCGTCGTTGGCGGGAGCTTGCGTGTGCTGCGTAGCAGGCTGGAATAGCTGCTCCTGGGGAGGCGTGTACAGTCCGGGGCTCGCGAGCGCCGGTTCCTTGGGAGTATTAATGATGGGGGCCTTGGCTTTCCCTTTGCCTTTGTCGGTACGCTTCCGCTTTCTCGGAGGAGCTTCGACCTCCCCGTCACTGTCTCCGTCGATATCTGGCACGGTGGGCTGATCTCGCTCGCGCTCCTTGACCTCTGCCCACATGGCCCTCAACCGCTTCAACTCCTTGGAATCCTTCTTCTTCTTCGCGTTGTTGATTTGGTTGTCTATGAACCGTTGCCTCATCTTCTTAGGGTTTTGAACGATCTCGTCCATAGTGCTAGGCCGACTCATGCGGTACACGGAGCCCTTGCATTTCTAAAAATGTCTGTCAGCGTGTGGGGTCAGATAAAGAGAGGAAGGAGGCTTGAGAGCTTACGTTTAGCACTTCGATGATCGACTCGTATCGTTGCTGGAAGGCGTACCCATCCAGAACCTCGTCATCGCTCTTGTTGCCGTGCTTGCGTTTAAGAGCCACCTGTACCGCCGTTAGTAACCAGGATATAGAAGGAACATAAGAAATGACTCGCCAGAAAATTCTCCGCTATCAGGTCCATCTGGTCGGGATCCATGTCCTCGACCCAGTGCTTCAGCGGCGCAGTATCCGGCATGTCGTAGGGGTTATTGCCATTCTGCATTGCCACAACTAGCTCCTCGAGGATCGTCTCGTCGTCGATTGGCAGAGTATCTGGTCCCAGCGCCGGATTGCCAACCGGAGCACTAGGAACATTGGGAACAGCGGCGATGGTCGGTACCATCTTGAAGTGATAGCCGATATTGAAGATCTCCTCCACGACCCTCCCGATGACGTTCACCTGCTCGGATACCCAGGGAATGAGAACCTGTGGTGCCTGACCGTTGTCAAGGCCCACCCGAATGATTTCCGCCTTAAAATCCTCCAGCTTGTTCCTGTAGTCGTTCATGGTGCCCGACTGCTCCTCGAAATACTGGAGGAAGTTCTGTAGGAGGTCGGGGCTCACCGATAGCGATTTGGCAGGAGCGACACCACTCGCGGCGGCGGCGGAGGACGAGGAAGCGATCGGCATTGTGCTTATCTGTGCATCAGTATCTAATTCTCTTGCAGAGTTGCGGGTATCATCACATCTCGGGATGGTGGGGGAAAAGTACCTGTTGAAATTGACGAAGGAGTTTATGCGGGCTACTTGGCTGTACGTTTGCTGGGGGTTTGCTGGGGGTTGGCCGATATGCCGTTTGCTTGCTGCTGTTACTGTTCCGGGAAGTTTCGGCTTCAAACGGAAGATGGGATGGTAGTGATGTGGGTGCAGAATTGGTGACTTCCAAGCAGGCGATGTTGTCGATATAGCAAGCTCTTTCCTGTGGTTATTTTCGAAGTTATCGGTTGCGTCTGGGGTCCAAGTTTCTGTCGTCTTTGTGGAGTGTAAGAAGAAGGGTAGGAGAAGCTCTCTCCGTCTTCTTTATAAAACGAGCCGCTGGGGCTCGAATCGATTCCACGTTCAATAGCTCACGTGAGTGTCTTGAAATGTGAAGCGCCGCAATTGAAAGTACTGCAAACTGAGCTTGTCATTCAACGTCGGCCGACGTTGCGGCAACGGCGACCGCGGTGCTTCCCTCCCAGCTGAGGCGGCAACTTGACCCTTCAAGGAGTAGGGTTTTACCGCTGCCGCAAGGTCTAGTCAAGACCTAACAAACTCAGCAGCCTCATATGTCAGCACTCGCGTTATCCTCAAGGTCTACAACCCCAGCTTATGTCGGTAGATCGATGGGCTATGCGTCTGTGCAAGCCCAGGGGATATATTTTCCGACGTGAAACAGCCCGGAATATTTATGCATGGAACACATGACGTACCTACCTATTTACGGGCTGATCAGCCCCAGGGGATAGTATCCCCATAAACGTTCCCCTCCCCCCAGGGTACGGTGGCCACGTCTTGTGGCAGGCTGACGACAAACGCCGAAGAATCAGTACTCATGTGGCCAGCTTCTGGACAAACGCGAGGTTGCACACTCACCAAAACCAAACCAGCGATCACGCTGGCGGTCCGAAGGCAGACGAATGACTGCCGACAGCTCGACCCGGGACTGTTCTCGTCCCTTTCGAATCCCCCTCCGGCCCTGACCGAAACTATCCATCCGACTGCGGAATCAATTCTTCGCGGTGATGCCGCAATTCTCCGCCTATGCCGCGTGGACTGACTGAAACACGGTTCCCAGTTTAACGACAACATGTCGTCGACCTCCTCCAGACTTGGTACTTCTTCTTCGCGTTATTGATCTGATTGTCAATGAAACGCTGTCGTATCTTCTTAGGGTTCTGCACGACCTCGTCCATCGTGCTCGGCCGACTCATGTACGGCAGCCTTCCGACGGCATACACACACGGCGGCAGTGCTTGCTTCCGAAAGCCTCTTCAACTTCTTCGTCGCCGTCGGAGTTGAGTTGGATCCATCATCCGGCAAAACCAACTCGCTCCGAGCTAGTTAGTTTCGTGACAGTGTCTCGACAATCCGCGAAGTTGATGCACCTCTCTCTTTCTCCCGACCGCTTCCAGAACGAGATTTCGACAACCCGCTGCTTTCCGGTGCGTTCCGAAACTTCCTGTGGGACTCCTCCGGCTCTCGACCCGCCTCCGCATTTGCATTGTCGGCTTGATGAACGACCGCTTACTCCGGCCCTTCTGCTGGAGTCGCTGCATCTTACTCCCGCCTTCTGTGTAGGAGCTACAGCGTCGTCGAGGTTCCTGGCCGTGGTCGCATCAGGTGGAAGCAGTACTGGCATCATGGTCTCCGGTCCAACATAAGTTCCAGATTGACTGGGACTCGGGGAAGTCGTCGCTCTCCAGCGCGGTGGCAGAATAATCTCTGCCAGGGTCGCGGTGGCCCTGAAAGGCCGTCGTGACGCGTGCATTATTTCGATTGCGGATCGGCCCCATCGAGCGAAACGTTATCCTGTGGGATAGGAAGCCTGAGTGAGAGTGTTACGGTTAGCCATAGGCTATTGAGGGAGTGAATCGCGGCTGGGGTTAGAGTGTCTAGAGTGTCTATCCTGCTGACTGCGGAACAGTGTTCTTCGACAAGAAATGCGGACAAGGTCTGGACATAGGCGGAAAATTTGGCGGAGCAGAACGAGGACTCTTACATTCTTTAACAAGAGATTGGAAGGGCGGGGCTCCGCGCATCAACAGGGCAATTGCTGCGGTAGGTTTCTTCTTACAATTAGGTATTGTGATCGGAGTCGAGGGTATTTAACTTTTCTGACGGAATTGATGTCGAGGGAGGGAAACGGTGGGTATTCTGTGATTGAGGTGGGGTGGAAAGGGGACACGGTGATGGAAGGAGGAAAGAACATCGATTTAGGAGAAGAGTGAAGATTAAATTGAGGGGCGTGGCCTCGTTTTCAACGGATCCTTGGATGAAGTGCTATTTTGAAGAATGGAGATTTTCAATATGAAGAATACACTACTACTGCGTTTGTGTGGGAGGATAGAAGGACCGCGGAGCCGTTAGCTGTATAACTCCAAACATTGGATAAAGGGACAGTTTTCGAAGTCGGGATGCCAAGGGGATCTCACAGAATCCCCAGTGACCTAGTTACTCGACGATCCCTGGAGGTGGGATACCTGCTGTGAGCGTCGTGAGTGATGAGCTCTTCCAATAGTAGGACGGTCACCAACCGCGTCATCTCATTGTATGGGGATGGATATTGCTCGGGCGTGTCTTGGAGCCACCGAGTGCTAGCACGTGAACGATGATTTTCGTACGAAAAGGGCAGGATTGTGCAAACGCGAAGAGCATTCCGTTTGGTCCAGCGGCCACGACATATTACTCGGCGGGAGTACAGGCTTACGCCTCTCGGCAAGGAAAGAAACATTCATTCTATTCAGCTCGAGAGCACATCTGCATTTACATACCAGATCCGGCTCGGCGAGGGTGTGCGTTGTTCGTCCCAGACAACGGCAGTAGATCGGGAGAGATATCCAAAAAAAATTATGATATTATTCTGCTAGAATGGATGTAGGAAACACCACTCGACGCCCTTTCCGCAGACTGGTCACCGGGCACAAGAGCGGGTGCCCGCCGCACCGCGAGTCGTCCGGCACGGAAAGTCATGTGTATGCAGTGGTCTCCCGCATCAACTTCCCATTCAACGATGGCTCCCACAGCTTCCGCGGAAAAGCGAAGGCTTCTAAATATTCACGATGTGCATACAGTACCCACCGGTCTATTGGGTAGCTCGTCCGGTCTATCCGTGGCATCGTGGCCGATTTTATCATCTGGCCCTTAGTAGAAAAGCAGCTACATGCAGTGAATTGGGATGGAATGGAAGCTACGGAATTGAGAAACAGCTGTCGATGCCGGCGCTTTGGAGAGAGGCTTTCCAATCCAC